TGAACTACTTTATTTAAATGCAACGTCAATCGCCATCTTCTATCTTCTTAAAACCTCTTCATCTTTTGTCGTTTCTTCAATCGTCCTGATACTCAGTCTTTTCTGTCACTTTCACTCTCTGTAACAAACTGCGTACGAGCGCCATTCCCGCCCTTCCTTAGTTAGGGTGAAATGATAAAAGAAATATTAGATGACAAACCTTGAGAAATCATTTAAATGTTTAAATATCGTTGTCGACAGGAAAGCCAGAAGCCGGAACAGAGTTCCACAAGCGAGGAGTGTGAGAGAAGAAACTATTAACATAGAACTTACGGTTACATCTAGCAATTTCAACAGTGAAATTGTGAAATCAATCTAATACGTACATAGTTTATATCGTTATATACGAATTACTGTGTGTGTGTGTGTGTGTGTGTGTGTGTGTGTGTGTGTGTGTGTGTGTGTGTGTGTGTGTGTGTGTGTGTGTGTGTGTGTGTGTGTGTGTGAGACAACAAACTATACGTAGAGAGATATATGTATGTGTAGGTGCATATACATTTATAAAGGTAGAGAAATGGGAAGTGAATTGAATACGTGTGTGCCTATGGATGTCTAAATATATTTGTATCAGTGATCATTTCAGTGTTTATATATATATATATATATATATATATATATATATAATTGAGACCTTCCTGATGCAGTTACAACTTCGTTGAGTTGGTCATGTATGTTGCAAGAATGAGTGACGACAGAATACTTAAGGTCTTCATGTATAACCAGCTTCACAGTTAACAAAGGAGTGTTGCACGGCCGTGGCACCGGTAGAACGACACGGTAAAGAGTAAGTTCTCAGCTGTCAATGTACCTCATACTAACTTCGATCGAGTTGCCCTGGATAGAAATAACAGAAGATATTTGTGCCAGGGTTGTATCAGAAATTTCGAAATCCGTCGTATTCACCGACTAAGAGACGAAAGACAACGGCGAAAAACATTAGCAAATCTTCCTGCGGTTATGTCTCGAGATTCTCGCTGTTGCACAATATGTGGACTTGTATACGGGTCACCAGCGTGACCGAAGTGTCACAGACGATACAAACATAAAAATCTAACTGAAGTTATCGAAACCTTATACGTTGAAATCGACGGAAGAGTCCACCATGTATATATATATATATATATATATATATATATGGTGGACTCTCCCGTCGTATGAGGGTCAGGAAGCTCAATTCCTAGAAGCCGACATCCCAGATACCAGCACATATTTGATTATAGTGGTGATGGCTTTGTGCGGAACCAACAACACTTTTTAAAGGGCCAAATACAGAGACCTGGTGCACTACGTGCCACAAGGTCCCCAAACGATCCTCCGCAGGTTTTGAATTCAGAGTTGTCCTTCTCTTATATATGTGTATGAAGGAGCGGGATATGGCAAGGAGCACGGAAGCGCGTAGTGCACCAGGTCTCAATATTCGGCCCTTCAAAAAGTCTGGCTGGTTCTGCACAAAGCCTTCACCACTATACACGACTATAATCAAATCATATATGCTGGTGTCAAGGCTGTCGGTTCCTAAAAACTAGGCTGCTTGACCCTCAAACGGCGAATACGACAGGACAGTCCATCATAAATATATATATATATATATATATATATATATATATATATATATATATATATATATTTTATATTATTTTTACAGTAATAACCATGTTTCAAAAATGGAAGCTAAAAACTTCAAATTTAATTTTGTAATTAAATCAAAAACATTAGAACCATTTCATCTTCAAGCGAATATTGGAGTAACATATTTTTTAAAATTACTGAGTTTTAAAAGCACACAAAATTCATAATTCACCTGCTTCTAAGGATACAGAGAAATACAGTCATTCAGACAAGAAGTGGCAGCGTGTTCATTTTTATTAACTTTTGTTGTATCAGTTATTAGTAATATATATATATATATATATTTTAGTTACATATATATATATATATATATATATATATATATATATATTATATATTATTAGTTACATATATATATATATATATATATATATATATATATACACGCACATCATGGACTCTCCCATCGATACCTCACTTTAGTCCGATGAAAACATTTCCCACTTTGTCATATATGTAAATACATATATACAAATACATGCATATATGCATGTGTGTATGTATGCGCTCATATATATATATATGTGTGTGTTTGCGTGTATATATATATATATATATATATATATATATATATATATTTCATATGCATGCATATAAAATATATAGAGATTCATGTGCGTATGTACGTGTGAATTTATAACAGTAGATATTAATATACATTTGACTTTTAATAAGAAAGAGATGTTAGTGAGCATGTGTGCGTTTAATGTCTTCTTCGTTCATTCTGTGTTGTTGAGTCTGGTGCCATATTCTCTATTTACCAAGAGACAACGATTGAACGCATAAAGAGAATCCATAAAAAGTCAAGAAACTTGCCTAAGGCCCCAAACTGCGGTATTTACAAGCACAAAACATCTCCATTGTTAGTCCCAAATTTCTTTCAATTTCCGCCTCGTCTTTTTCCTCGCTGTTTATTATTATTATTATTATTATTATTATTCATGTCCACCGCAAATAGCGAATAATTTTATGTCAGATTTTACAAGTATATGGACGTGTTAAAGATGTGGAAAAAAAAGAAATCCTTTATTAACGGTATGGGGGGATGTTTCAAATGCAGAGGCGTACTGTAAAACCTCCACGTTAAAAATAGTGCCTCCTCCTGGGCATGACGATTAACTATATCCGGCAGCAAGGCCTCTGATCGAGATTTTTTGAGGAGCATGGTACCACCTCTTAATTGCTGGTGTTCACAGGTCTACCCTAATCCAGGGTGGTTGCATCTGTTAAGGTCCCAGCTATGAGTAAATACTTAACTCCTAAACTGTGGTCAAAACACTATAATAATAGAGAAATACATATTTTTTTAGTGAAGATGCCAGAAATACATTTTCATAGTAAAAAAATATTACCAGCAATACATTTTTTATTTATTAAAGACATATTTTTATGTTTAACGTTGTTATTTTATAGATACAAGTATTTAAGCAAATGCTCTGCTTTTTATGATAAACAGAATTAAATAACAAAACTTACCGGTTTGAATGACGGTTCCAGTATAGGATGCAGGTTCAATCTAGAAAATTTTCGTTTTCTTTGAAAATTTCAAGACATCGAACCTGGTAAATGTTATTTAATACCGTTTATCATAAAACACGTGCATTTGCTTAAATAAAAATCTATAAAATAAAAACGTTAAACATAAAAATATGTCTTTAATAAATAAATTGTCGGACCTTGTCCATTTCTTAATATAATACATTTTTTGTAAAAGAAATTACTAATCCTCCCAAGAAAATACAATTTCAGCATTAAATGGCCCATAAGGTGTTGATATGCCGTTAAACAAACAAAACAAACATAAAGCCCCTTTCATACTATTCTTCGAAAAATATTATTCTAATCCTTTATCAAAAATAATTGGAGGCCGTAGATCAATTGAGTCAATCAGTAATTATTGAACCAATTGCTAAATTTAGCCCAGAATTTAAATCTCTATTTTTAGAAATTCAAATTTTATTTTGGGGTACCGGACTCACCCGTAGCCGGCCTAAAAGGTTATTATTCGATTACTAGAAATATTGGAAAATTGCACGGTTTTCCAATTTTAATTATCTGATGAATCTTGATTCTTAAATTAATGATTGAATAAGCTCATGGCGAGTTCTTCGACAATAAAATATCCGTAGAAATTCCCCTATCGCATCGTTTCATTTCTGAGGTCAACAACTTTAACAAAATATTTTAATAATAATCATAAATATGAATGCTGGTCGTTATTTTAAGAAGTAAGGGGGTACAAATGAGAAGATTTTAAACTAAAAACTTTTTTCTATTCCACTGAAACAGACATTAAACGCTTAATTCTTTAATTTTATCACAGAAACTAAATAGCGTCTCTGGTATATCTTTTCCGTATTTCCACACGATCAAAACGGAATGTGTTATTTGCAGAACGCGCTAAAGGAGGGAGGGACAAGGAGAATTATAATAAGGTAAATTCCCCACACCAACTTTGGAATACAAACCTTAGAAAAATGCATTAGTGTATAATACGCACTAAAGTTTTAAAATTAGTAGTTGCTAAACTAAACCTATTTATACTATCTAACTTTTGACTTTTGTTCAACTTTTTATTCGGTTCGCAAGGATCTATAAATAATAATTTATAAGGCTGCAGTATTTAGACCAGAGCGCGGATATGTTCACAAAATTACAAGTAGCTACCAGAGTTTTCCGCTATATGTAACATAGATACTAGAATTCTATCGGAGCACCCGTAAAAATATCATGGGCACAGGAAGTGTGGCATAAGCGTCCTTGAAAGCAACGTAGCAAAGTCATTCAAAAAATGCTGCATTACGAACGCACTGGACCGTAGTGAAGATAATTTCAGGTGGGAAGAAGGATAAAATGGCTCTGTGGACGATATCAAAGATGAAAACATAGACTACGGTGACATCATAGAAGCAATTATTTTATCGACTTTCTGACACGGACAGCAGTGAAGTAGCATAAAATGTGCGTAATATCTACTGGAATAAATCATTTTTTTAAACAAATGATGCGTTTGGTAAATGATTTAAACTCTTCGTTGCACATTAGTTTTTTGTACAATAGATATCATTTACTTTCGATCATACGGCCTCGAATATAATGACGCATGTGACCAGCAAAAGTTCTCGTGTTCGTATTATACCCGGACAATTACCGAATAAAAGGAGACTCCCATACCAAGAGTCGCACACCAGTCGCCCGTTCGTCAACAACAATAGATAACATCTGAATAAACACTAAACGAAAAGTGTCAATCTCACGATTTTTTTTCTGATTGCTATATAAAAAAGAAGAAATTGTCTAAAGCTCTAAAACAAGTTGATCCAAAATAATTGTTACCACAAGGAAGGAAGGGGGGAAGGAAGGAGGGAGGGAGGGAGAGAGGGAGGAATGAAGTTAGGAAAGAATAATGTTTTGATAGAAGGAAGACAGAAATGGTTTATTGAAGCAAGGAAGGACGTATTGAAAGAAGGAAATAAGATCATATTGATGGAAGGAGGTAAGAAAGGAAGGATGTATGTAAGTAAGACGGAAAGGAATGATGTTTTAAAGGAAGGAACGAAGGAAGAAAGAAAGAATAAAGGAAGGAATGATGTATTTAAGGAAAAAAGGAATGACTATTGATGGAAAGAAGGAAAGAAGACAGAAATGATGTATTGAAGCAACGAACGAACGGAGAACATATTGATGGAAGGAAGGAAGGAAGCAACAAAGGAATGATGTATTGAAGTAAGGCAAGAAAGAATGATGTTTTAAAGGAAGGAATTAAGGAACGAAGGAATAACGCATTGAAAGAAAGAATAAAGTAAGGAATGATTATTTTAGAAAGAAAGGAATGACTATTGAAAAAAAGAAAACAGAAATGATGTATTGAAGGAAAGAAGGATGTATTGAAGAAAGGAAGGATGGCACGAACGAACAAAGAACGTATTGATAGAAAGAAGGAAGCAAAAACGGAATAATGTATTGAAATAAGGCAGGAAGGAATGACGTTTTAAAGGAAAGCACTAAGGAACGAAAGAATAACGCCTTGAAAGGAGGAAAAAAGGAAAGAATGATGTTTTAAGGAAGAATGGAATGACTATTGAAGGACGGAAGGAAGGAAGACAGAAATGGTGTATTGAAAGAAGGATGAACTTATTGAAGGAAAGAATGAATGAAGGAAAGAAGGAAGGATATATTGATGGAAAAAAGAAGCAACAAAGGAATGATGTATTGAAATAAGGCAGGAAGGAATGATATTTTGAACGAAAGAATTAATGACGTATTGAAAGAACGAATGGGAGACAAAAGGACGGAAGGACAGAAGTATTGAAGAAATAAATACACTGAAAACTTTCTCACACCATTAACTCATCGCCATTCCTTAGAATACATTTCTTTATTAAACTTAAGCGTCATTGCTATAAACCATTATATTTAAACCAACATGCTCATCTTTTCTACGTCAATCGTTTTTCTACTTACAATGTTTCGACCCTTGTAACATACAGCCATCGTCAGTGTTCTGACTATAAAAAAAAGAATCAATCAAGCAAGGATTGAATCAAGCAAGGAAGCAAGGATTGAATGACCAACATGCTCATCTTTTCTACGTCAATCGTTTTTCTACTTACAATGTTTCGACCCTTGTAACATCCAGCCATCTTCAGTGTTCTGACTATAAAAAAATGAATCAATCAAGCAAGGATTGAATCAAGCAAGGAAGGAAGGATTGAATGACCAACATGCTCATCTTTTCTACTCCCACCATTTTTCTACTTACAATGTTTCGACCCTTGTAACATCCAGCCATCTTCAGTGTTCTGGCTATAAAAAAATGAATCAATCAAGCAAGAATTGAATCAAGCAAGGAAGGAAGGATTGAATGACCAACATGCTCATCTTTTCTACTCCCACCGTTTTTCTACTTACAATGTTTCGACCCTTGTAACATCCAGTCATCGTCAGTGTTCTGTGGTCATACTCAGTAACCTTCTCAGAACTCTGAACCAAACCCTTCATTCAATCAAAAGAGTAGAATCCTTACATTGCACTTTCGCTAGTTCTAGTATCAGTGACTTGAATAGAATTATATATAATAAGGACCATTCCACATCTTAAAAAGTTCCCCCTCTTAAATTAAGACATCCACCCTTTTCGTCTTTTCGTTGATTCTGTTACTGTTTCTACCTTTTCCCTAATATTGCCTACTTTTTCTCTCTCGTCTGCGGCAAAGTGTACTTTACTACTATGGCGACTCCCATACTCTGTGATAATGAAATCTTAACACACTATGAGTCAGATAACCTTATACTCTTGACGGTCTTACCACAATATTGAGTTTTTTTCTACTAAAATTTCAGTCAAAGCAAGGTACGAGAGACACTTAACGGGTTACTGTTAAAATGCTGATGATGGGTGATGTGAATGAAAGCGGGAAGGGGGTGATAGAAAATAAAAATTACGTGGATAGGCAAAGATTGACCCTTGATATGAAGATGCTAAGATTGAAGTGTTCATGGATGCACTGGCGCGGTAGACTCTTCTCTAATGTGGCAGTTCTTTGGGAAAAGCTTTTCGAGTGGAACTTTTTCTTATATTTGGAATACGGAGCAAATGAGGGTGATTCAGCAACGTGGAAGTAGCATAGTGTGTCCTAGCACTAAAGGTCTGAACTGATGGAACTAAATAGAACTCAGCTAAACATTTACCATGGAAATAGCGATTGAGTAGCGATAGGCTTGCGAATGGCATAAGGAAGGAAGGAAGGAAGGAAGGAAGGAAGGAAGGAAGGAAGGAAGGAAGGAAGGAAGGAAGGAAGGAATAATGTACTGAAGAACGGAATAATGTATTGAAGGAAGGAATGACATTGAAGAAATGAATAACGTAAGGAAGGAAGGAATGACATTGGAAGAAGGAAGGAATAATGTATTAAAGGAAAGAATAACATTGAATGAAGGAAGGAAGGATTGAAGGACGACAGGAATAACATAGAAAGTTGGAAGGAATAGTTCAAAGGAAGGAAGGAAAGAATAATGTATTGAAGGAAAGAATGACATTGAATGAAGGAAGAATAGAAGAAATGCCTTGAAGGAAGACAGGAATAACATTGAATGAAGGAAGGAATGGCACAAAGGAAGGAAGAAAGGAATGAAGGAATAATGTATTGAAGGAACGAATGAGATTGAATGAATGAAGGAAGGAATGCCTTGAAGAAGACAGGAATAACATTGAAAGAAGGAAGGAATGACGTACAGAAGGAAGGAAGGAAGGATACCTTGATGAAAGACAAGAATAATATTGAAAGAAGGACGGAATAAATCAAGCAATGAAAGATGGATGAAATGATGTATTAAAGTAAGAGAAAACATGATAAATGAAAGCCTACAAAGAAAAAAAGACGAAAGGAAAAACAAAGAAAAAAGAAAGAGAACCAGAAAGAATAGAAAGTAACATTTTTTTCTTTAAATACTAATGAAACTATTAAAAGTAAAAATGAACAAATGAATGAATGAATTTTCAAAAGACAAAACATAAATGAAAATGAGCGAAAGTAAAAAAGGGGGTGCGTAGAAGAAGTTGGTTAAATAAAATGGGTCCAGACAAAATGAGAAAGTCAAAGAAGGAAATTGGAGAGAAAATTACATCAACACCAGTGTTGAAGCTACATCGCCGCCACCTTGAATCAGACATGGAGTTCAAGGAGAGGAAAAGATGGCGGAAAGGATGAAGAGAAAATGCGAGGAAAATCGTTTGCAGACAAAATACAAAAAGGAAACAATCAGGGGGAAAAATACGATAAAAGTGCGACCAAAGTTTGCAATAATCAGATTTATGACTGCCTAAAAATTGGTAACATTTATTTGATTTCTTTTCTTTTCTTTTCTTTTTATTTCTCCGTTTTTTTATTTTTTTGTTGTTTTTTTTTATTATTTTTTATTCTTGTAGCCGTCCCCGCCGTTTATCATTTTCTTTACCGCGTCTTTATTGCATTTTTGCATTCATCCATCTTTTTTTCCTTCTTTTTAACGTTTTTTGAACGTTTACAATTTATATGAATAGTGGCATTTTTTTTTTTACTTACTTATTTTTCCTAATTATCATAAAAGTTATTTAGACGATTCTCGTATTTTTTTAAGTTTTCATCGATCTGTCTATCTTTTTAATGACTTTTTGCTTTCTCTTTCCTTTTTTTTTTTTTTTTTTGACTATTTTCTTAAGTGTTTTCCTTTTAATAGTTCTCTTTACGCTTCATTCTCTCTAAAGGGTACACGCACACACACATTGATGCAATTCCGTACACATACATAATTGTGTATGTGTTACATATATATATATGTGTGTGTGTGTGTGTCACCCATAGGCATATATATATATATATATATATATATATATATATATATATATATATATATATATATATATATATATATCTGTGTGCGTGCGTGTGTGTGTGCATAATGTCGGTATAAGAGTAGATAGGTTCGCTGAATCACCCGGTTGAAACAACTTCCCCGTTCTTTTTAAACAGAAGTGGAGGTTTATCCCTTGTTTCTTATTTAAGATTGAGTTTCCGGTTCCATCTAAAGTTTACTCATTTTCTGTCACTGCCGGTAGGCCCTTGAGTCTTAGTGGCATAATCGCCTTGATTGGAGGAAAATGATTAAAAAAATTAAATGACAAAACTGAATAAATCCTGTTGAAGGACGAAGCGTCTCTCAAAAGGACTTCTTCAGACAAAATAATGATTTTATTAATGGTATCATGTATACATAGTTGAAGGGGAAAATACAGACATCGTTGTTTATAAGAATACATCGACTGAAATTGAAAATGCGGGGCTGCTTAAATTTAAATTAGTGCAATCATGGGGAGTTTGTAGTTTAAAAGCAGTAAAATCGACGTGGTATAGCACGTTAGGCTAAATGACGGTTCCGTGTAGGATACAGGTTCGATTCCTGTTGGAGGACGCATATTTTCTATGAAATTTCTCGGATGTTCAGGCCGATACATGTTGTTAATACTGCTTATTATAAACAGAGCATTTACTTAATTATTTGTGTATATATATAAATAACGTATAACAATAAAATATGGGGGGGACAGCGGAGTGGTTAGAACGTTCGCTTTCTTACCATGAGACCGGGGTTCGAATCTCACCACGGTTGATTTATCAGGAAGTAGACATCAGCGTGTGGCACCTTTGGAAAGTGCCTGAGAACCATACCGATAAAACTGGATAGACGGACTTGGTACCCCATGTGCTAGCATGAAGTCTCAAGTCATCGTGACCGAGGGTTTGAGTGTATTGGCCTTGATCAGATTGTTGATCACACTAGATCACAGTAAGGTCTGCTCAGTAAATGTGACTGAGCGAGTGTCTGAAATAGGGATTGGCTAGCCGCCCTAATAGACGGGTATCCTCGAATACGATATAACAATAAAATATATTATATATATATATATATATACAGCATATGTTATTAGGTTGGTGCAAAAATAATGTCGTTTTTGACGTTAAGTTGAACATCAAAAAACGACAATATTTTTGCACCAACCTAATAATTCAAGCATGTTTGGTTGAATAATCTAGACATAGTATGCTTATTTTATTTTTATTTTAACCCCTTCAATTTTTTAATGTTGTCATTAAAATCATTAAGGAAACCGGCGTAGTTCTCATTCCTTTTATTTTCACAACTAATTTTAATCTCATCCAAGATCATTTTCAGAATTGCTAAGACAAAACAACAGTAATAGATAAGTTGTGAATTCAAATTTTTGAAGTCCTCTATATAGAAAAATTGCAAACAGTACTAAATAAGATTAATTATGCGTATAGGAAAAATGTTTAAAATGTTTAAATTGTAATTCTTTAAAAAAATTTACAAGTAAATTAAAATTAAATTACCTCCCTTGATAACGTTAACTTTTGAATCAACAGAGCCCTTTTCATGCACATTTACAAAAAATAATCACAACTATTACATGAGTTTTTGTTTGAGCAATTCACCCTTGAAGATTATCTTGGATGAGATTGAAAGTACTTGGGTTAAGTAAAAGAAATGATGAAAACTACGGTGACTTCCTTAATGTGTTTAATAACAACATTAAGAAATTGATCCGAAATTTGAGAAGATTAAAATAAAAATATAGGGACATAACATGCCTAGATTATTCAAAGAAATATATATATATATATATATATATATATATATATATATATATATATATATATATATATATATAATACTGGTGTGATGCCGTCATAAAATGTTTTTAATATTTGGTTGTTAAGTGAGTCTGTTATGGGATCTTACCCATAATAACATAATGGACTATTCCATACGTAATAAATACTGCGCCTCAAGAGGAAGCAGGGAGTTCAGTCTGAAGTCGGGCGACCGGCTGACTGGCTGATCGGTTGAACTCTCTGCCTTCGGGCGGGGAGGAACCCGAACGAGGCTACGCCGAAGGGCGGAGTCTCTTTCGGGAGGTAAACCGACCCTGAACCCGTTTATACGGGTTCAAAGGGCATATTTTTGGCCGAGCCCACGGACTCGGAGATCCCACATTAAACCGGCCTTGTGCCACATGATGCCCTCGTGGGGGGTGACTAAATACTGTTCAGTCTGAAGGCTGGAGTGAAGTCCGTCAGGAGTTTGTCAGTCAGAGCGAGTCAGTCGAGTCAGAGGCAGTCCGTAACAGAGTCGCGTTCAGACAATTACTACTAAATCTGAATGTTCTTACTAACACTTTCTACTTCACTGTATATATTCCTGTTTGTAATATATCTGTGTATTCCATATCCGTGTTCGAGTTCTTCTTTATTGGTTCTACGTTGGACTATCACCGTGGTACAAGGAACCGAACCATAAGAGTCAATAATATTATGTATGTTGTTAGTGCAGGAATAACTAAATTTTTCTATTGAGACTTTTATATAGAGGGTTATTGTGATTAAAACGATTTTTAAAAAAATTATATATTTAAAATATAAAATAAAATATATTTTATTTTTAAATTTTTTCTTCTTTTTCCCTTTCTTCTTTTTATCCCGATACATCAGTCATGATGGATTGACTCCATTCGTAAAAAACATTTGGCCTGAAAAGATGAATATTAAAATATTCATGAAATAAATTATAACCGAGATGGATTTTTAAGATTTTCCTTGATTTATTATATATATATATATATATATATATATATATATATATATATATATATATAATTTTAATCTTACATTTATATAACTTCAAACGTTATTTTAAGTGGATATACGTATTTGTGGAGAACGCCTCGTTTTTATTTATTTTTTGCGGGGGTAGTATTCTCAAATGCGCAGGCCGGTAACGAAATAAGCATTGCATTAATTTCGTCTACTAATTTCTTCCCTCTCACTTCTTTTTTTTGCTTTCCTGTCACCAAGTATTTAAATGCAAGGTAAATCTCCACCTTTTGTTTTCCTAAAATCCTAAATCCTGTCCCATGTTCTTTCGGATTCTTCTTTAGCCATTTTCAAATGGAATTCTTTTAGGTGCTATTAATTTATATTCATGTTTCCTGCCACCAAACGGAAAAATATAAGAATGCTCGAAAGACAAAATAAAACTTCATCAAATTTTCCTTATCTGTCATATTCAACGAAATATCCTGCCTAAATACACACATAATACACGCACACATATAGTGATTTTCCAAGCGTAGCTTAGATGTAGCACAAGGCCGAAAAAAGGCGCACCCAGTGAGGATCGAACTCACTACTCAGTCGTAATTGTTCTAACGAGACAAGCTTGCTAATAAACGATTTTCTAAGTGTAGATTAGATGTGGCGCAAAGCCAAAAGAAAGGAGCACCCATTGAGGATCGAACTCACTACTCAGTCGTAATTGTTCTAACGAGACAAGCTTGCTAACCATTGCGCAGCTTCGAGGTGGCCAACACACACACATATATATATGCCGGAGGAAACATATTTTCTATGAAATTTCTCGGACATTCAGGCCGGTAAATGTTGTTAATACTCTTTATTATAAACAGACGTAAATATTTGTATCTATAAAAATAACGTATAAAATAATACATATATAAAAATAATTCTTCCGGACTTAGTCCATTTCAATATACAATATATATATATATATATATATATATATATATATATATATATATATATTTATAATCTAGGCGTATTCTGTTTTCATTTTAATCCTCACAAATTCACGGATCAATTTCTTAATGTTTCCATTAAACTTATTAAGGAAGTCGTCGTAGTTTTTCGCATTTCTATTATTTTCCCATGTACTTTCAATCTAATCCAAAATCATCTTCATGACAAAATTTAATGCGACTGATAGTTGTGATTTTTTTGTAAATGCGCATGAAACGCGCTCTGTTATAGACAATTTGAAAATTAACTGTTAAGAATATATAAGGGAGGTAACTATATATATTTTTATTAGAAATTGATCCGTGAATTTGAGAGAATTAAAATAAAATAAATAGACATAATATGTTTAGATTATTCAGCTGAACATGCTTGAATGAAGATATATTCTATATATATATATATATATATATATATATATATATATATATATATATATATATATACGTTTTTACAATTTTGTGACATAAAAAATGGTTTTCCAGCTCATCGAGCACAAAGTATAGCTTATGTTTTTATAAAA